TGTTGAAGGCAGACAATAGACTCGACAAGAACATCTCAAACTACCAAAGAAGTATCTAAATTCCTCCAAAACGCTTTTTAGATATGAATAAGTATAAACCACGGTGTCATTTTGACTTATTGACTGCAGACTGTGGTGTGGGTGATATGCTTTACTTTGACGTGTCTTCCAGCGGCTCCTAGTGGTCACAGCGTTTACATTTGTGACGACGGATTCTCTGTGAGACAGTGCAGGTCCAATGGCCTTTCAGTGAGTGCCAGTCTGAATGCCAGTTACAATCTATATTAAGCAGTACCGTCTATTGATGTGCTGGCATATAGAATATCTCACACCCCTCAGACTTGAAAAGGCACAGGGTGCACAGCGTTCTGATATTTGGACTGGTTATTCTATCCTCCCGCCCCGGCTTGCCAAAATCTCACACTACCTTGTATCTCACAGCTGGACATACAAACAGAAGGAAGCATGCCTGTGCGTATTCTTGACTTCGTGCACACATGTATACTGGTGTGCATAGTAGTGATTTGTAGTGCATCTTTACATGTATGTTTGATGGCTGGTGTTTGAAGCAAGCAAGTGAACTAAAGCTATTTTTATCATTCAGTGGAGGAGTCTCTGATTTCACAAACTGCACAGCAGGTACGGGTGAGCAAAGATGCTTTCTGTCAACACACTTCAAGATTGGGGAGGGATACTTTGCACTTTTTGAGTGTAGTTTGGAATTTTGCACTGCAGCTAAATCATTTTAGACACTTGAGACATGCATTATAGTCATAATAACAGTGAATTATAGATTATTACATGCAACTAAAAGCTAACCCTACACTCAAAACATGACTTTTGCTTCTTGTTCAAACTACTTATTTAAAATGAGTTGAAACAACAGAATTCTTAAGGTTTTTTAGGGAGGGTTCCACATAATTCCTTCATGTTGTCACAACACAAATGAATTAAGTTAAAGTAATTGTATTTTACTAATTTAATTAATTAGATTGAACATAAAACAATTAAGTTGTCCTCTCTAAAAAAAAAAGTCAAGAATTGAGTTGATTCAGCTCATTTTAAATAAGTAGTTTAAACATGCTGCTAAAATCATTTTATGAGTGAAATGCTGGGCTCCAAACAATTACTTCATGTTGCCTTAGCACAAATCGATTAAGGTAACTTAATTGTTCTTACTAATTTAAGCTGATTGAACATAAAACAATTAAGTTTCCACCCAAAAAAAAAAAGTCTGGAATTGAGTTGAATCAGCTCATTTTAAATAAGTAGTTTGAGCATGCAGCACAAATCATTCTATTATTGTACACTGAAAAAAAATGCAGGGTTTCATACAATTCATTCATGTTGTCCCAACACAAATTGATTAAGTTAACTTTACACTTTTATCAAATTTATGTGGATTAAACAAAAAATTAAGTTGTTCCAATGTAATCTCGAAAATTGTATTGTTTCAGCTCATTTTAAATAAGTAGTTTGAACGAGAAAGAAAAAAAAATGAGTGTACACTTAAGAAATCCTGTTTGCCTCAAATTTTAAGCTGAATCAAATTATTCTTATGGGTCCATTGAACTTTTATGTTGAATTGACTTAAAACAGCTTGCCTAACTTATAAAATTAAGTTAGAGCATGATTGATTTAGTTTAAAGTTACGATGACCTAAAAATAGGACTAATTGATCATACATTTTTTTAACAGTGTATAACAAGGACATCTCAAAATCAAATGTAACCAATCTGTTCATGTACAGGTTTAAATACTGTATATGAAACGTCATATCATCATCACCCCCTTGTCATTTTAAATTGATCTGCTGAAACTTAGTTGTTAGATGAGATAAACATATAAAGAAAAAATGACTAAAGGGCTGTGAAACAAGATGAGTATCTACTTAAAGATATCCATCAATGCTAAACAAGATTTGCAGTGATATCAGTCACTGTGACCTGAAAAACTTGCTCGCTTTGCGTCTTGCAACACTTTTACAAGACATATACTGATGGAAAGAAAAGAAAGAAAGAATGAAATGGTCTGCACTCATTGTGAAAAAAAACGCAGGGTTTCACACAATCCATTCATACATCCAACAAAAATTCAGTTTGGCATGTTTAATTAGATTGAACATAAAACAATTAAATTGTGGCAATAAAATTTCAATAATTGTGTTGTTTCAGATTATTTTAAATAAATAATTTGAACAAGAAAGAAAAACATTTTTTTAGCTGAGGATACAGGCCTGTAGCCAGCCCAGTAAAAGGGGTGGATTTTTTTTTCTTAAAATATGGACCTTTTTGCAGTTATTTTTGCCTCATTTTCTATTTAATTATGAGGTTTAAATACTTCTTAAGCACTATTTTTGATGGATTAGCTTGTCGGATGGTCATCAACCACACTTTTTGATGTACCAAAAACATTTTCTAAAGATTTAGAAGCAAAAATACGAGAATACTTATTTTCAACTACAAATTTATTACATTATATATAATTAGAAAAAAAATGATGCTGTTCAAGCTTTAAATTAAAAACTATCCTATTGTCATTTATTAGCCAAACACAAACTCCCCAGCAGACCTAGGAGTCTGCTTGGTCCTTAAGCCTTCTTCGATGGTTATTTTCACAATTTATTATGGCATAGCAGTCAAAATAGGACAAATAAGCTCGTGGATAAATTCTGGACATTTGTCTGTGAGGGGTGGGTCTTTCGATCCCCCCTAGCTGGGGCCGGATAATTGTAAATATATATATATATATATATATATATATATATATTATTTTTAGTTTATTTTTAAGAGGAAACAGTGAGTGTGTATAGCCCAGTGAGTTTATAAATGGAATAATATTTGATCTGCGATCCACCGTTTGTGAAGTCGCATTGGAAACCACAGAGTTAAATCCGCGCTAAACCTCTGGATGGGTCACAGTTGCTGTGAGAATTCACAAATGCGCCTAATCAATCCCTTAAACCTAATTACACGGCTGCTGCTACCAATACAGCCATGCCACTACCGTGATCTTGAGGGTCAAACGTTTATATGCGCATCGCCGTGTTGCCTGATGTATAACTATCCGGATTAATGGCGTGCCAGGACCGTCTTGTGAACTTCGCACAATGCTTCTCATTATGATGGAATGATATTGCACCTGTTGCTTCAGGATGTCATACCTGACTGCATCCTATGTTGCATAGTCAGTTCTGTAAATAGAAAAATGTCCCGTGGCTTCCAAGAGTTTGTGTTCCTTGGGGCAAGTAAGAGGAGAAGATGTCATTATTTTACCACAGATACCCGGCTCGTTTTAATGTGACAGTTTAAATGAATGAAACAAATGCAGTTTGGGGAATGCGCGCGCACCAGAAGCTGCCCTGAGGTCACACAGGCAAAAACGGTCAAAACGCGATTGGCAAAAAACAAAGTTTAACGATGAAATATGAGGAGAGTATTGTGTCAGAACGCCATGATAAATCACCAGGGAGGTGTGGTGATATTTCAAAGGCTTATCTATCTGTGGGGTTCAGCTATGTATTTAACTTGACTGCAGTAAACGAGATAGACCGCAATTCATTTATTTTCTTTCGGCTTAGTCTCTATTCACCAGGGGTCACCAAAGCGGAATGAACCGCCAACTTATCCAGCACATGTTTTACGCAAAGGATGCCCTTCCAGCTCCAACCCAGTACTAAGAAACATCCATACACACTCATGCACACTCTCACCCATACATTACAGACAACTTCAGTCATTCATTCATTCATTTTATTTTCGGTTTAATCCCTTTAATAATCAGGGGTCGCCACAGTGGAATGAACCACCAGCGGCACGCGGCATGCCTTTCCAGCCGCAACACAACACTGGGAAACACCCATACACTTTTGAAAATCCACGCCAACACAGGGAGAACGTGCAAGAACGAAATTCAGTTATTCAATTCTTCAATTGTATGAACTGTATGATTTTGGTGGATGTGTAATATTAATAATAATAACAACTAAATAGAGTAAATGTAAAGAAAGACACATTAGATTACGCATCTTGACTAAAATACTTGAAAAATATATCAGTAAATTTAGCTATTTTATATTAAGGCCATATACATAAGTGTCTTATTATAATTATTTTATATGTTTTACACAGTGGCTGTAAACTCTACTGTGGGCGCAAATAAAGCACTTTTTAAGTCCACAATTCAACTTGCGACATTCGTAAGTAAAATTTAATTAATCATCTCAACGAGAATGTAGTGTTAAAGCGCATTTTGGAGTGTAAACTAATATAAAGTCTATTTTAAACTTTATAAGGTTGTTTTTATTCTTGATGGCGTTTGATTTAATTTTAGGTATGTTATAAATAATAACCGTCTATTTGGGTTTTTCGAATATTTGTCATCACGATATCGGTTATTTGGGCTTTTCTTCATGCTTATAATTTAGAGACTTATAATAGTTTCAGATTTTGACTTTTAGCTGTCACTTTCCTGTCCGTTTGTTTGCAATATTTAGAAACAGAGTTGGATGATGTTTTCTCGTCTTATTAGCCCAATAAATGTACATGAATATTTTAATTTCCCTGACTTGTGTGAAGCATTTTGGCAATCTAAAATGCAGTTGGATGTGCTTTATAAATAAAGAAGTTGAGATTGATTATGGAAAGCGTAATATGTGCTACATTAAATTCGGAACAAGACTTCAAACTTGTGCAAATACAACAAATGCAGGAGTAAAAATAAACAAACAAAAATAACATAAATTTTGTCATGGCATTCATAATGCGTGCAGAAACGTAACAATGCTTTGATTAATAGCTTTTCCATGTAATTGCTTCTCATAATATGACTTTTGCTCAGCTTTATCGGTAATAAAACTGAAAAGTTGAGTGGAAATTATTGTTATTTATTTTTACAGTGAAGCTTTGAAAGTAAAACGCCTAAAAAAATCTAAACATATCAATGTTCATTCAACATTAGACGACATTTCAAATACAACGCAAACGTGTTGTATCACTCACCCGTGCATGAATGCAGAGGTTTGGGTCTGACGATTAAAGAGGGACAAACCGAGTAAAGGGAAAGCTTCTCGAAGTAATCACAAGTCTCCTTGGAGAGGATCTCGTCGATCATGAAAGTCTTGTATCTTCTGGCTGCTTTCAGTTGCGCGCTGCTCGCGAGTCTCAGCTCTGCTTGACAATGCATAGTGTCCAGATCCGCGCGACGCTCACCACACAAAACTTTGATTCTCGCTTTGTTAAAAGTTGTGTAAAACTTCTTCTTGGGTATGTTAGCGACCTAAAACGGCATGTCATTTGACCAGCTCCGGCGTGCTCTTGCAGCTGATAGTGTGTTCAGTGTCTTCCGCGCGCTCATTCATGCAGCGAGTGCGCGCTTCGCTCTGAGTCACCGCTATATAAACCAACTATCCTGTCACCACTGCACTGTATGCAACAGCAGACACACTTCACGTCAATCACTCGCTCTCTCTCTCTCTCTCCCTCTCTCACTAACTCGCCCTTCTCTCGCCGTCACTGTACAACAGAACAATAAACCGGTTTTCTTTTTGTTTTCTTTTTCTGTCAACACTTATCACTGATCCACGGAATATCTGAGATACTTTTGATAAAATAACAGATCATTTGTTGTTAAACTGAAAATCAGAAAATAAAGATAATTATAGATAATAACAACAATAATAACAGCAACAACCAAAAACGAATAATAACAACGACAACAACAACTATAATATAGGCCCTAATATTAATGATAATAATAATAATAATAATAATAATAATAATAATAATAATAATAATAATAATAATAACAACAACAACAACAACAAGAGTAGGCCTTGATGATGTTAATAATAAAAATAAAAATAATAATAACAACCATAGTAGTAATGATAATAACAACAATAACAATATTTGTTGTTATTATTATTATCATCATCAGGGCCTATTGTTTTTGTTGTTGTTTTTATTATCATCAGGGCCTATTATTATTATTATTATTATTATTAGTAGTAGTAGTAGTATTATTATTAATACAACAACAATATTAGGCCCTGATGATAATAATAATAATAATAATAGCAATAATAATATTAGTAAAATAAAATTAAAATAAATAATAGTAATAATGATAATTATTATTATTATTTTGATTATTATTAATAATTTTATTATTATTATATCAATAACAACAACAATAGGCCCTGGTGATATTAACAATAACAACAATAAATACAATAATAGGCCCTGATGATGATAATAATAATAACAACAACAACAAATACAACAATAGGCTCTGATGATAATAACAACAACAACAACAATAATATTAGGACATAATAATAATTATTATCATAATAACAGCAACAACAATAGGTCCTGATAATAATAAAAATGATAATAATATTAATTATCAATATTATTACAATAATAACAACAATAATAATAGGCCCTACTACTACCAATAACAACAGGCCCTGACGATAATAACAACAATAATAATAATAATAATAATTATTATTATTATTACTACTACTATTATTATTATTATTATAATATTGATTATAAATATTTAATTTACTGTTTATTATTTATTATAAATTTGTGGAATAAACAAATGTGCGATTTAAATGATTAAGCTTTATTACAGCCTCTGTAATCGTTAATATGCAGAATAAGGCAGTTTTAAATATTTATATATTTAGCATAATGGTGCATGTTTCATTTAGAGCAAAATTATATATTTATAGGGAGGGAGGGCGAGAGAGAGAGAGAGAGAGAGAGAGAGAGAGAGAGAGAGAGAGAGAGAGAGAGAGAGAGAGAGAGAGAGAGAGAGAGACTGTTCCTGATAAGATCTACTCTGAGTAAACATGAGTGAGGCTGGTTATTTGTTTACAGAAGAGTTCAAGAAACAGTTCAAAGCACCAATTTGTAACTATTTAATGATTTCATTTATTGCTGTGATTTTGTTGTTGTTGCTGCTGCTGCTGATGGAAAACTCCTGTCCAAACGGAAACGCCTGCGTGTCTTAAAACTTTCAACGATCCCGTAAAGCAACTATTTCACTTGCCAGGACAAGTGGCATCATTCATTCACATGTGTGAAGTGCACAATGAAACGCCTTGCTTTACTATAAAAACAAATCAGAACCGCGTAAATCTGTTTCCAAAGATGGATAAATAATAACTGCTTCAAAATGACAGAACTTATAGCCTAACTTTCATTATATAAAACCACATAAATGCTACTGAAAGGCTATTTCACATTGCTCAGTCGACTGTTAAATAAATGTTATACAGCCTATTTGTTTTAATCATTATAAAACGAATGTGAATAGGTTTTTAAACGCGCTGCCCAGCTATTTGAAATGATAACAGTATGACTAACTTAACCCTGTTTACATTGGTTATATATCTGATCAAATGGTATCTTTACTTAAGCTTAAATGTTTAAAGAGTCTAGCCTACTGTAAAAAAGATTAAAGATTATCAAATATTATTATAAGATTTGTATTAAAGATAACACTATTCGTTTGGAAATAATCACAAGTCTGTATATAGCACAGCAAAGGCAACGAATGCAACTAGTTGATAGAATGCAGACGGAAAATAATTCAATGTATTATTATTATTAAAAACAACAACAACAGTAATAAAAATTGTGATGACAACAACAACAATATAATAACAACAATAATAATAGTGATGATAATGATGAAAGTAATAACAATAATAAAAACATCAACAACAACAATAATAATAAAATAGTGATGATAATAATAATAATAATAACAATAATAAAAACAATAATAACAATAATGATGATGAAAATAATAATAATAACAACAATAATAATAATAGCAGTGATGATGATAATGATGATAATGCTGAAGATGATAATAATAATAATAATAATAATAATGATATCAATATTAATAGTGATAATGATAATAATAATATTAATAATAATAATAGCAACAACAACAGTGGTAATAATAATAATAATAATAATAATAATAAAAACAACAACAACTATAATAATAATAATAATTATTATTATTATTATTATTATTATTATTATTATTATTATTATTATAAGCTAAACAGTATTTACAACTATTTGGGAAATCTAAAATTTAATTTAGGAATTACTTCTTGCTCTTGTACGGGTGTCGCGAATAAAGGGGCAGAATCGACAGGTGCTCCTGAAATGTTTCTCCTATCAGTGTCAGACAGTATTACCCGTGTGAAATGATGGAGGTGAACAGACATTTCTCTCAGTTTTGTTACAGAACAAGTGAGAAAGACAGCTCCTTCCAGACAGCAGCGGTTTTTGTTTGACATTATATGATGCTTATTACAGATGGACCGGCGCTTTGATGCTGAACTCCCTTCACCGAGCGCGGTGTCGGGTTTCTGCCGTCCAGAGAGCCGTGTGTGTGAGAGTGTGTGTCCGCTGTCCAAATGATTATCATTTTCCCATGTATCAGAGTAAATATAACTCGCAGAGGATCCGAGATAACAGCCGCCGCGTTCAAAGCGTTGGGGATTATGTAAAGGAAATATAGAGATCTGCGCTGCAAAAGCTCTGGGCTCTTTTTTCTTTTTTGGGTTGGAGACCTTGATCAAAGCGGAGAAATGAGAACAACTGCTGCTGGATTTAAAACTGAGGGATAAAACAGAATATCAAGAAGATAAACAGACAGTACAATGAGAAGCGGACTTGATATATGCCTGTGGCACCTGTGAAATGTGCACAGCCTGTGGAGATTAGATAGATAGATAGATAGATAGATAGATAGATAGATAGATAGATAGATAGATAGATAGATAGATAGATAGATAGATAGATAGATAGATAAATAGATAGATAGATAGATAGATAGATAGATAGATAGATAGATAGATAGATAGATAGATAGATAGATAGATAGATACATACATACATACATACATACATACATACATACATACATAATGCAGGTTATTTTACTGTGGTGTACTGTATTATAGTACCAGCTATAGAAAACTACATTATTGGTTAATTTGTGTATAATAGTTTGTTGTTGTACAGCTATAGTCCATATTAAAGTTCTCTACTTGTTCAAAAGCACTGTAGTGTTTTCTATAAATTACTATAGTATTTTATTTGGGATAAATGAAATGTGCACAGCCTGTGGAGATTAGATTGATAGATAGACAGACAGACAGACAGACAGACAGACAGACAGACAAACAGACAGACAGACAGACAGACAGACAGACAGACAGACAGACAGACAGACAGATAGATAGATAGATAGATAGATAGATAGATAGATAGATAGATAGATAGATAGATAGAATTTACCATATTAATTTACAATAAATACTAGTGTTTTGAACCGTTCTAAAGAATTATACTGTTGTATTTACTGTTCTTTATTCATGACACACTTACTATAGTTGTTTTACTATCACAGATACATTATTTTAATACTATTACGTCTCATAAAATACATTACGAGTTAAAACAGTGCATGTTCTTGTTAGATAGCGCCAATAAAGATAATGAGAGTAAGGTGATTATAATTTAACATGTTAGACTAATACATAAAATATTTGGTTGTTTTAACTCATATCGGTATATGTACAATATGGAAAAAATTCAATGAACCATTAGGTTAAAAGTTATATTATAACTTAAACCAGTTGTTAACGTCGTCCATATTTTATACCTTTGCGTTATATTCACACTTTCACAATACACTTTAATATCTGTTCAAGCTTTACATTGCACAAAAAGTTCGTTTTGGACACCTATTATTGCCGCACTGTTAAGTAATCTACTTTAATATTTTAATTTTGTTGCAAAAACCTAATTTCGGACATTTATGGGTCTTTTAAGCGTAAAGGTGGGGAACATCCTACAGTAGTCCACATTTGAAGTGGATCAAAAATGTTTTTCAAAAGTGTCATATAAGACAAAAAATGGTGTTCAATACTTTTAGGACAACTTTGAAAGGTTTTTATCTTCAGATGTTGACTACTGAACTTAATATATCCAAAGAGAGATCTTTTAGGCAGTGAGCGGCTGAAGGGGATGTCGGACGCCAGGCAGCTCAATCAATTAGGCAGATCCGAGGAGAGGCTGAGCTCCTCATAACGCGTTTCCCAGTACAGCAGCTTGATTAAAACCCGATCCTCCGCAGATTAAAGCACAGACACAGGGCTCAGCACACCTCCGCTCTCGGGCCCAGCAGGAGCTTTATGGGGATGTACGGCTTCAGACGCACCGGGGGCCGCTGATAGCAGATAAAGCGCTTTCGGAAGGGCAGATTATGACCTCGGATCGGACATTAAAGGATTCCGCTCGGGGTGTCACGTATGGATGTTGTAAACTCGACCACTGGCGGGACAACGGTGCTAATTGCATCACGATTATTAAAGTAGCAGTTCCAGCAGCTTCATTTCTACATATATATATATATATATATATATATATATATATATATATATATATATATATATATATATATATATATATATATATATATATTTTTTTTTTTTTTTGCAAAAACAACTAATGCAAGAATGAAAAGAAAGAAAAAAAGAAAGTGAATAAAAACCAAATGACTAAATAATTTGGCTATACTTTTTGTATCTGACTTTCTTTCTGCAAAAAAAAAAAAAAAAAAAAAACTCGTTTATGGCTAGTAAAGATAGAAAAACAATTAATAAATTTTCTTTAGTAATGGTGGTTCATTCCGCTGTGGCGAGCCCAGATAAATAAAGGAACTAAGCCGAAGGAAAATAAAGGAATTTTTGGGAATTAGTTTAAATCTTTCTTTCTTCATTTATTTCCACGAATTATTTAATGTAGTAATTTTTTTATGAATAAGAATTAATTATTATAGAATCTCAGTGTTAAGCGGCTTTGAAACAATTTTGTAAAAGCGCTAGGCTAGAAAATAAAGATGAAATGAAAATGTCCGCAAATACGTTTCAAGATTAATTTGGATTTATTAAACTTTTATGACCACACGACGGTAACTTTTGCATATCTAATCATCTTATCCGAATCATCTACCCGAAAAAGCAATTTTGTTTCCCATGAAACGAAACAATCAGCGATCAGCTCTTCCTTCCTACTCTCAATCTGCAAATCATTTTGAAAATCTGAAGATTCCTTTATCATAATAAAGAAACATTTTCTGGTTTTTACAATCCAAATAAGCTTTTGAGGATATGTATTCCAGTAAATGACCTTTATTTATTTTGGAGTGAAGGGTCATTTGCATGTAAAACTCGGCTCACTCGTTGTTGCCCAGTCACCCTTTAAAGGAAGTTCATCCTAAAATGCAAATGTACTCACTATTTACTCGCCCTTAAGTGGTTCCAAATTAACCTTTAAGCGTTTCTTTCTTCTGCTGAACACATATTAAAATATTTGGGTAATATTTTACAACAAGGTTGTATTAAGTATTGTATTTACAAACATGAACAAGTCATTTATTACAGTAGAAAAGAAAATAGAAAAGAAAGTGTTCATTTGATTTATTTCTGTCTTCCAGGTGAGACATTTAACCCGAGGTCCTAACTCTCCCTTGTCCTTAAAAATCCCATGGCATTTCTCGTAAAGAGTAGGGGTGTATTTTTCACTGGTACTCACTTGACCTTGAAGGGTCCACATGGTACCTCAAAAGTTTATATTAGTACCTATAAATATTTAAGAGAAACCCTTTAGTAATTTTTAGGTACTAATATGTATCCTTGAGCTATCAATATGGACCTTTTAGGTTAAAATTTATACCTTTCAAAAAGGTACCACCCCAGTGACAGCAGTTTATTTCTGAGAGTATGCATTTTTATTTACTATACTCTCAAAATAATTACGCAAATCTTAAGCTAAATATAGCTATATAAAATAGCTAAAAATGTCTGCAGATTCTGTCAGGCCCTACCAATTGGGTATAACTTTACATGGACAGAAAAAAAAGACCGGTTTAAAATGATTTAAAACCTACAACACAATATTTCAGTGGATTTAAGACTTTTAAGGCCTAAAATAGTTTTTTTTTTTAAACGCTGCTGATACCCTGATATATTTAAAGAAAACAATCAACATAGTGTTTTATGTGTAGTGTAAGATGTACTCTTTAAATCCACATAAACACTGTTCATTGTTCACAACAACACTCATTCACAACAGAACAATATCAGTCAATGACTTAAGAAAATGAACAGAACCAAACATGCCACTGGACATTAAAAATGGTGTATTTACAAAAGTATTAAAACAAGGAATTCCTCAGATGTCTGGAAGATTTAAGAGTCAACACCAGCCTACAGTCTCATCCAGGACATTTAGAAACTTAAAAAAAAACAATGTTTGTTCTTTAAAAAAAAAGCATTTGCTAACTTTTTTATATATATAATAATCAGAATGAGAAATCCTGAGAAATTACAAATGTTGAACACAAAGATTCCACCAGCACATCAATTTTTAGGGTTACACAGAAATGTTTTTTTTTTCCCAAAAAGGACATTCTTAATAATAAAATAATATAAACAGGTATCCACCTGAGACCCAAATATATGTTAAAAACAGGCCAGCACAAAAAAAGGCCAATTGCTTATTCACCTTTTGTTCTTGCGTCTCTTCAAAAATCACATTTCTTTTCACTATACAGCCGCACTGCTTAACATTCTTTTTTTTAAAAATGGTAAGACGCAGTCCACCAAAATATGTCACATAAAAATTAAAAAGGAGTAACAAAAGATTATAAAAACAGTTAATTAAAAAACTAAAGTAAAACGCAACTGAAGTTTAAAAGTGTTTCCATCGTCCCTCTCTGGAGTCTCTCCGTCTGTCGGGGGGGTAGTTTCTGTTGTGTCCTCCACTGCGGTCATCATGGTGATAGAAATCGCCCCGCTGCCCATCTCGCCGATTCCGCTCATAGTTATTTGCTCCGTTTCCGTGCCGCTGATCTCTGCCCTGATGGTTGTTGTTGTCCTGGGGCGAGTGGCGCTGCCCGCGGTGCCCAGACCAGCCTCCGTCTGCGTTCCCCCGCAGCTGCTGCATGCCCTGCTGGAAGGTTCCGCTGAGCATTTGCAACTGCTGCATCTGAACCTGCCACATGTTGTTCATCTGTTAAAACAAGTAGTGACAATGTTAAGTCTGTTATGAAGCATTTACTGGTCAATAATACGGTCAAGTTTTAAATATTTAGATAAAAATAACATAAAATTATTAATTAAAAATTAGATAAAAAACATTTAAAAACAACTGAAGTCAGAATTATATATTTTTATAATTATTAAAAATATAATAAAAATAATTATATATATATATATATATATATATATATATATATATATATATATATATATATATATATATATATATATATATATATATATATGTATGTATATATATATATATATATATATATATATATATATATAAATATAATAAAAACATTATGGAATATGAATATATAGAAATAACTGTCACGATTTATATATATAATATTATACATATATAAATCGTGACAGGCCTATGTTTAGGTATGACAGTGGAACAGACAGCATCTTTATGGTTCATGCAGCAGTAAAGTTGATGTGTTGACTGATCATGAGTGTTAGGGATCAGTGTTCTCACCATGGCCTGTCTTTGCAGAGTGTCTGGTGAAGAGAAAGGCCTCTGCATGTGCTGTGGAGGAGAGTAAGACGGAGAGCCCATCTGCTCTGGGGTTCTGGAAGACCACAACACAAGACTATGAAATAGAAGTTCTACAAAAGACACTTGACAGTGGAAAACACATAACTGTTTAAAAGGTACGATTTTGTATTAAGGGAGTCAAGAGGTTTAAAGTCAGCATGAAACTCAAGTTAAGATTAAAAATAAGTGTTTTATAAAGAGTGAAACTAAATTAGGAATCTTGCTGATATGAAAAATGTAAGAGATTAACGATTTCATGAAATCACAATGTTCACAAGAGACAAGTAAATACCAGGTGTAAATGTGATCACTCTCAGCTGTAGGGATCACTTGAAACAGACACTCAGGTGTAAAGCATATGTACTGAATCACTGCATTTAAAACAAACTTTACCTTCCGCCACGGTGACCCGGTGTATTTGCTGGACTGGGGTTTTGAGAGTTTGCTGGACTTTTGCCTTCTTGATTAATATGACTGCTGCCTGTTAAAACAGACCGGTTTAGATGAAGATTAGTCTGGTCCTTACAGTAGTCAAAATATTTCAGAATTTTATTTATGCTAGAAAAACTAAATATATTCAAGTCATTAAAGACATTCAAGTCAAGTTATTTCTCAAATGCGATGAACTGATTCAAAAGGTAAAAATGTCGTTTCAGAGGAAAGGCAAACTGCAAATGTGATTGAAGATTTTTTTTAAGCCATTCTAAATTATTTACACATGAATCACTCAGATGATCACGAAAAAAACAAACAAACAAAAAACATGAAGTACATTTTTAACACCATATTCTTTAATATTGTGAAAAAGCCCAGTCACCAAATCAGCCGGCATGAGGGTATGCTGAAATGTTGAACAGTGACAACCCTTAGAAAACACAAAATAAATCAACGCAATAAGGAAAGTCCTACCGGTTTTGAACTTTATGTTGAGCTGTCGTCCATGCAGACGGATTCCATTCAGCAAGTTCAAGGCATAGGGCACTGACACTTCATGCTTGAAGTTTACAAATGCAAACAGTTTTGACTTTCCTTCATTGTCTTTAGGGATTTTAACCTTGATCAATGGCCCAGCCTAGTGGAAAAAGAAAATGCATGAATGACCTCTGATGTTGCTTTATATACAAAACAGAAAAGTCCTTTATTTATTAGTTTCTGTGAACTATAAATTGCCTGCAATAATAACAACAACAACAACAACAGCTACTACTACTACATTTATTATGAAGTAGATTAATAATACATAGTTAAATGTCACCTGACTTTATTTTAATATATATATATATATATATATATATATATATATATATATATATATATATATATATATATATACATATACACATATACATATAAGTATATTTGTGGGTTGATACTATTTAAACTGGTCTACACAGACTTTTGTAGATATCAACTTTGAATGTCAACAGTCAAGGGGAAGAGAGAGAAAAAAAAAACCCTGATAACATTTTATTCCAAAAGTAACATGCATATAATTATTTCTGGCTATCTGTATTATTTTGAAGTAGGTATTATGTTTAGAAATAACCTCTGCACCAAAAAAAAAACAAGTAAATAATTGAGATGTCAACAAAATGATACACAGTTAAACCTTTGCACGGTGTAACCATATGGCAACATGATGCTTATGGTCATTTCCATAAGTTTCTTTTAGACCAACATTTTTTTTTTGTTAGAAAGAAAAGACCTTAGTTTAGCCAATGATGTGCTTTGGTTAAATCACATGACATGCTGTGCTTTTCTGTGACACGATTTCTGACTGGTGTTTATTGTTAGTTGCTAAATGCAAATGTAAACATCAATAGAAACAAAGGATCAAATTATGTCAGATCCACTAAAAAATCTGAAACATCACCTCCAGTACGTTATGATGACATATTCACAATTTAATTTTTTTAAATCAAATTTTTTTGTATATCGATCAAATGTATGTGTTACCAAATGGCAACACTGCAATTGTGGATCCTGCAATATTGCAATAAGTTAGCTAGCTAGCAAGGTCGGCTGTGAACTTTTAAGTTGTCACAATAACAAAATGAAAGCTAGTAATATAATGTTGAATAGTCATATGTTAATGGCATTTGAATTATGGACAAAATCAATACTTCTTTTGAATAGATATCAATACAGGGAACATTGTTATAGCGAGCACCACTATGTTCTATGGTAAGTGAAGCAAGAAAAGGACAGAACCGGCTCTTCCTGCAGATAAAACATTTGAAAGAGACAGTCCAGAGAAGTTAGCTCAGAGGCAGATAAGACAGGTGTAGTAGAGTGTATATAGTATAATATATAAACATTGTTAGCTAGTAGCTACATTATTCTGATGCATCTGGATATACTAGACTTATTATTTATTTGTTATAATATTGACTGGAGAAAATATTTATATTTACTTAATGTTGTATATATGATAATACACATTTTGTTTTATTATGTTTTTAATAATATTCAGCTAAAAAGAATGGAATGAATGAAAGCTGTTGGAAAAGCATGTATAAGGTGTTATTTCTAAGTTCTGTGTTAAAGCACATTATGCTGCAACACCAATGAAATCATTTCAAACAACAAAATTATTCATTATAAGGAAAGTTTTAAATTTGAAATTTCTAAGTTAGATCTACTGTTGGACGTTGCTGCCATATGACAACATATCATAAAGTACCTAAACAAATAAATTCCAATATTTTTTTAAAAACACTTCAAGTTCAGCCATTTTAGTCTTTTTTTATATAGATTTATCATAATACGTGCAGTAGAGGGTTAAAATTCCCCTGACAACATTATTCCAAAATACTTTGAGATATATTTATTGGCTGATTATATGATTTTACTATTAAGAATTTGCAAACAATACTTTTCTGAAATTATATTATTAAGGAGAAAGGCTGAATGTGCGAATATAAAACCAACTTCACCTTAATAAATCATATAATCAGCCAATAAAAACAACATTGTTCAATCGAGGTAAAGTAAGTTTTATATTCACACATTCGTTCATTTCGAAGTCTCCATATTGTTTACCATGTTACTTTGAATATTCGATTCGAATTAGCATGCAAGTGTGACTTGAAAACAACAACACTGTTTATTAAACTGAAAAATGTTGTACTTTGATACTCATTAGCTGCTAATATGATTTCGCTATTTAGAGTTTGCAAATAATACTTTTATGAAATTATATTATTAAGGGGAAAGTCTGAATGTGCGAATATAAAACCAACTTTATCTCTATCTCTGTTCACAGCCAATGAAACAGTGCTAATGTTGTTTTGAAGTCAAACTTGCATGTGATTTTAGTCCGAATATTCAAAGTACCATGCTGTCACTGAACGAATGTGTGAATATAAAACCAATTTTAACTCAATGATTTTGTTCTGATGTTCTTGTATTGTCAGTTCGAGCAATAAAATGATTATTTAGCAGTGAAATTCGTTGACATCTATTAAATTAACTGCCAAAAGAAAAATACAATCCTGTTGCATATGAATGACTAGAGTTGAAGTAAATTCGGATATTAATGTTAATATTAGAAGTCCAACAATGTAACATAGAGGTAAAGTTGGCTTTATATTCGCACTTTCCCCTTAATAATATAATTCATAAAAATATTACTTGCAAACTCTAAATAGCGAAATCAAATTAGCAGCCAATGACTATCAAAGCACAACAGTGTTCACAGTCAAGTCACACCTGCATGCTAATTACGATCGAATTTTCAAAGTAACATAGTAAACAATATACAGACTTCTAAATGAACGAATGTGCGAATATAAAACCAATTTTACCTCTATCAATAAAACTGTTGAACTGTTAACACGTAACGTTAACCAGATGCTAAATTCAAGAAATAACACAAACATGTGCTGCATGGAAACATTAGATTCGTATTCTAAAATAACACCAAACATACTACATTATTATCAAACAAACATCCATTGAGATACAATATAAATGAATTGTTTGTAAATCGAGCTGAAACAAACAACATCCAGGCCTTCAGTAGTATTAGCACAGGCAAGCTAACGTACTCAACTGACGCTAACACGCTTACCTGTAAAAACAGCTCGAATATAACTTCTTCTGTGACTTGGGGGTCCAAGTTCCCAACAAACAGAGTCCGGTCAGCCTCGTCGGCTATTCCCATTTTTAAAACAATTAATAATCCAGTCGGTTAATCGCGTCAACTCTGCTAGTTAGCTTAAATGTATGACCATCCCGTCTGTCTTTAAAACGCCTTTACCGTATGTGAGAAATAACTGTCGTGATGCACAGTCGCTTCACGACACAAATGTACAGTTCCTGTGAAGACCACGCGGAGGCGACGTTTTACACATTAAACTCTGCTTTTTTTTTATTTAAGCCTACAAGGCAGGGGTAAACAAGTAATAAGGGGTCATATCGTGTATGAGCTTTCGAGATGGACGTCAAAACCAAAACTAGAGAAAAGGTAAATAATACATGGCGACAATGCAGGCTAAACACTGTTCTTAGTGCGCAATATTAATATGCTGGTCGATGTGACTGTTCACAAGTGTTTTCCTCCCAGTTTAAAAGAAAGAAACCTTGCTAAACAATTTAAGTATTTACAATTTAAAATGTTAATTCTAGCTCACTTTATAAATCTATGTAGATTTTGGTCGCAAAGCATGTTTTAAAACACCAAACTGCAGTTTTTATTCTATATTCTGAAAATATATTTACTAAGAGAAATGTTCTTACGTAATTTGCGTGATTATATATTGTCAGGGCCTGATTTAGTGATTTTGGGGCCCTAAGCAATTCGAGCCATGGGAACCATAAGTCTTACAGTAATACACACTTTGTATTTGTATTTATATATTTGTTTATTTAGCTGTCTTTTTATATCACTGTCTTCCTTTCCATATTTTTATCATAACGCAATCTCTACATTTTTAATGATTTGTTTGCCTAAATCAGTTTACAACTAAAAATAATAAATAAACTATGTGGTTTTTAAAACTTCATTTTAATCTGATTTGACTGCTGGACAGGCGGCATGGTGGTGCAGTGGTTATCACCTTCACCTCACAGCAAGAAAGTCGCTGTGCTCGCTGTGCTCCGATTTTCACCACAGTTCAAACACATGCTCTGTAGGTGAATTGAATAAAATTGTCCGTAGTGTATGAGTGTAAGAATGAGTGTGTATTGGTGTTTCCCAGTCCCAGTTGCAACTGGAAGGGCATCCGCTGTGTAAAATATATGCTATATAATTTGGCAGGTTTATTCCGCTGTGGTGACCCCTGATTAATAAAGGGACTAAGCTGAAGGAAAATGAATGAATGAGTGATTGCTGGACTAATCCATGATTGGGGGTGGGGGGGACACAATTGCACAGATGCATTCATTCATTCATTTTCTTTTCGGCTTACTCCCTTTATTAATCTTGGGTCGCCACAGCGGAATGAACCGCCAACTTATCCAGCATCTGTTTTACGCAGCGGATGCCTATCCAGCCACAACCCATCACTTGGAAACATTCAAACACACACTACAGACAATTTAGCTTACCCAATTCACCTGTACCACATGTCTTTGGACTGTGGGGGAAACAGAAGGCACAGAAGGCTCGAATCAGTGACCCTCTTGCTGTGAGGCGACAGCACTACCTACTGCGCCTCTCAATTGCACAGATGTAATAATCTGTATTTGTTAGACCTTTATCCTACAAAATAGGATAGAAAATTACATTATATATATATATATATAGTTTATAGAAACTCCTAGGTATTTATTGTGGGCCCCCAGACAACCCTAAGCGGCTGCTTACCTCACTTATTGGTTAAATCCACGCCTGTATATTGCATTTTATTGTTAAAAAAAAAGATACTGTCTATTTATTTTCTGGCCCGTTCACAGTATTTTCATTTCAATTACAAGTGATAAAAACTGCCACAGATTACACAAATATCCTTTATATATCAAATAATAACCAATAATAAAACACCATGTATATAAAATAATAACCCAGTATATGTGAACCTGATTTCATCCATTGTTCAGATTCTTGTTGTATAAATTTGTTGTATAAATTATGTATTATTATAACATAATACACATTAGTGTTTACATATATCATTTGCATATATATATATATATATATATATCAGATTACTTATTTAAAATGAGCTGAAACAACATTTGAGATTAACTTCATTTTTTTATGTTCAATCCTCTTATTTGTTAATGGTTAACTTAACCGACTTAAGATCGGATAACATGAATTAATTCATGAAATTAAATCAATCAACTGAGGAAGTACAGCACAATGTAAACTATTGTTATTATATATTAATTTTCTGTTTAGCTTAGTCTCTTTATTAATCAGGGGTCGCCACAGCGGAAGGCTCGAACCAGCGACCTTCTTGCTGTTAGGGGACAGCACCACCCACTGCATCACCATTATTATTATTATTATTATTATTATTATTATTATTATTATTATTATTATTATTATTGAGTGGTGTGGTGGCGCATTGGGTAGCGCTGTTTGCAGCTGGAAGGGCATCTGCTGCATAGAACATAAGCTGGAAAAGTTGCTGGTTCATTCCACAGTGGCGATCCCTGATTAATAAAGGGACTAAGCCAAAATGAATAAATAAATAATAATTATTATTATTTTTATTGCTTACCCTATTCATCTGCAGTGCTTTAAAGAGATAAATAAATCATCCCTCAGACTCATCACTCACCTTTAGTGCAGTGAAAATTAGTACAAATCTGAAAATCAATGTAGATTCATTCAGATGCCCTCGGCTTCGCTATGTGCTCCGATTAGATGAATTAAAATTGTAATGATTAACGATTTCTCAGTCAGACCTCAGGAACTCAGACAGAAGCTGCAGTTGTCGATGTTGAGGAGATAATGTTGTGCCGATAACGGTTGATAAACAGCATGGTTTAGCTTACTGTTGTTGGCTTATTTGTCTCTGCTGCTTCATCAGGCCTGTGACTCACTGAAAGCAATAATAAGTTGGAGGCTTCAGTCTTCAACATGCTATGCAATTATTACTTTAAAATAAAAGTAGAGATAAACTGTGAACTAAGTACCAAACATAAAATCCAGTGATTTATACAGGTCATTCTTACATCATCATGAAATGAGATAACCATATATGACTTTAATGCTTGGTCAGAATATGGCCCTGGAAAGCATAAAGCATCAATGTGAGCTTCATAAAAAATATTAACGTTAAATTAAAGAGTCCAGCAATAAAATTTAGTTGAACTGTTAACACACAACCTGATGCTTAATAAATCAAAAAGCAAAGCCATGTGCTGTATGAAAATATTACTTTCATATTTTAAAATAACACCAAACATAACATATTGGGTGAAGCAGTGGCGCAGTAGGTAGTGCTGTTGCCTCACAGCAAGAAGGTCGCTAGGTGGCTGGTTCGATCTCCAGCTCAGTTGGCGTTTCTGTGTGGAGTTTGCATGTTCTCCCTGCGTGGGTTTCCTCTGGGTGCTCTGGTTTCCCCCACAGACCAAAGGCATGCAGTACAGGTGAATTGGGTAGGCTAAATTGTCCGTAGTGTGTGAATGTGTGTGTGGATGTTCCCCAGAGATGGGTTGTGGTTGGAAGGGCATCTGCTGCATAGAACAGATGCTGGAAAAATTGGCGGTTCATTCCACTGTGGCGACCCCAGATTAATATAGGGATTAAACCAAAAAGAGAATGAATGAATGTATGAATATACATATTGTGTTGAGAAACATTATGAATGAATTATTTGTAAATCCACCTGAAACTAACAACAATCAGGCATTCAGTGGTATTCGCACTAGCAAGCTAACGCGATCAATGACGCTAACACGCTCACCCATCAAAACAGCTCAATTGTAACTTCTTTTGTGTCTTGGGGGTCCAATATGGCCCTGCGAAGCCTAAAATATCAATGGGAGCTTGATATAAAATGCTGTAAATTGTCATGAAGACAACAATACAATGAGATCTTAGCATTTACGTTTCTTGGATAGTTTGCATGTTCTCCCTGTGTTCACGTGGGTTTTCTCTGGGTGCCCCCCACAGTCCAAAGACATGCAGAACAGGTGAATTGGGTAGGCTAAATTGTCTGTTGTGGATGGGTGTGAATGAGTGTGTGTGGATGTTTCCCAGAGATGGATTGCGGCTGGAAGGGCATCCACTGCGTAAAAACGTGCTGGATAAGTTGGCGGTTCATTCTGCTGTGGCGACCTCGGATTAATAAAGGGACTAAGCAGAAAATAAAATTAATGAACAAACACAACACTGGACATAAGAGCTATTTTATAAAACCTAAAACTGCATCACAGCAATAGTTATTTAATGCTGTTATCTAAAATTATCTTAAATATTTTTTATTGTTACTCTAAACTTTCATGTGTCCTCTGGGGACAGACCATAGACTGCAGTTGATCTTTGTCTTTTACCTTACTTTGGTCAATTTATTAATGTGTAGTTATATGTTCCAACTGTAGGTGGCAGTGTTCGTCCTCAAATCTCTCATTGTGTTCAATATAACGCAACAAACTCCAGAAGCATAAAAATATACTCATGTTGAGCCAAAGTATAGCCTATTTGATAAATCTCAGAGAGAAAAAACAAGAGAGAGCCTGAGTAAAATACAATATCACAAAGGAGATATTCTTTCTATAGTTTCTTCTCGTCCTGTTCTTGTTCCTCCGTCCTGAGGCGAGGCTTTGTGCAGAAATATCATAGTGAAATTCACAGTTTGGTCTTCGCAGTGTGGCAGGGAAGTGCTGAAATCATTTTGCCTCAGTCACGACTTTTAGAGGAAGTGCTAAAAAGCGAATTTAGTGGATTTAAATGAAAAGAGTTTGGACTGTAGTCTTACAAGTGCTCATGTTAGCCTCGGGCAAAGAAGAATTAATGCTAGTGTGTTTAATTGATGTGTCGTGACCTGTCTTGTTGCAACATGTCAACATGCTATAAATTAGCATAATGCTTTCCTTTACAGTCAAAAAGAAATGTACTTTATGTCAGTCTTATTTTAATCCTAGCCTGAAATTATGAGAATATACATGTAGGAAAGCATATGTGGTGGAATGAAGTGCTATAGCGGTCCTAGTAAAGGTTTAGAGACAATTTATGTTACAACATTGACTGTATAAGAAAATGAATTGGCGTAAGATTGCATCGAAAAGGCTGTAAAAATGTCATGTGATGCTCCTTAAAACAC